ATAAGCATTTTATTCTCTAGACGAATCAAAGAGCTTGTATTAATTTGTTGTTAGAAAGCTCTGTTTAGAGTGGGTAGCGACTCCGTTGCTGATTGGTATCTTCATCGTCGTTTCGTTGATATTCGGCGGCGGTTGTCTTGCTGCCACACACCCGACTGCCAGAACGAGGAGAGCAGGTTGTGATAGGCGACTTTAAGCAACCTGCCTTGTTTGCCCAGTAACCTGTGCGACCTTTGGTAACCCGGGCGACCTCCGAGGCGGTGTATGTTCCATGAAGACAATACCACTAGGGACAGGTGCGTAAGTTTTACGGAGATTTCGCGCATGGTCTCCAACCATTGTCCTTCTCACCCGGGCTCGGAACCGGCAACGGTGGCGTCTAGCATAAAATACTTTGAAAAGCGCCCTTCTCCATGGGGTGGGTACTGCATAACTGTATACAGTATTATGTTGAATACTCTGCTCATAAATGAATATCATAGTCAGTTGTTTGAATTCACTTATGCATGTTCTAGAGGCGACATCAGCACCTTCGCTTTCTAATGCAACACTTGAACTTGGAGCTCGGTCTACGATAATCAAAGGCAAATGTCGACTTAATACTGTTCGTGACCATCACCTCACTTTAATTGCTCAATTTTTAACGTGTCTAGAAGTGAACTTCAGCGATTGCTTTCAGAATCAAGAAACTTCTCCTACGCGGTAATGCGGTATCCACACCATAATTGCAAACTTATTACCGGTCTGTATCGCTGACTACTGGACATAGCTACTTTGCTATGCGCTCGTGAATTGCTGTTCAGCATTGTCTAAAGACTAGTTTAAAATCAATTTATTATAATATGAAGTTTTTGGGAGCAACCTGCGAAAGGAAATGCACAATTCAGGCTCAACGAGCGGTCAAATTAGGTACAGCGAAATTTGGAACCACTTGAATGCGTCAATCGATGTTTCTGATATAGAACACCTGGAAGATTATCATAATAAGTTAAATTAAGTACTCCGGTTTTATCATATAGATAATTTCTTTTAAATAAGAGTTCATGCAAACAATCAACCGCAACTGGATCATCCGGAAGCCAAAATTTGTTCAAGAACAGGTGCGGGCGACAGACAACATGCCGAAGGTCAGCACTAGTTAAAAGACACACGCCGTTTCTCCATCTACCATTGCACGTGAACGTGGAGCCATCTTCATGTTTCCAGAGAGTGAAACGGCTGATCCATGTTTTGCGTCCAGAACTGACACATCTACCTGGATAGTTTCCAGAAAAGTTGAGCCAGTCGTTGTGGTTAAGGGATGACCAGAAAATTTCATCACCGGAGGCAGAATTTCGCAAATACTTTAAAAGCAATGATCGCAGCTCATGCATTCTGATCTCATCTACAAATTGACGACTTAGAGATACTGCAAAGTTTCCTTTGTATAGAATAATATTTTTTGGCGGGGGGCCACGAATAAAATTTGTCTGTACAATGTCTATGGGAATGCCAGATTCATCAAATACATATTTCCAAATGTACCTGATATGATCATGTGGAGGCACTAGCTCCACATCGTTTGCTCCTCGATGCGCCCGAAGAATCTTCACGATTTCTCTGTTTGTTTTCAAAGGAAAGTCATGTCCTTGCAGAGTCAAAAGATACCTCCAGCGAGTTCGTTTGGTGGCACTTTCAAACGTGTAGATGTCTTCTATACAAGAAAGGCAAGCGTCGAGCATTTCGATAAATACACGAGAAATTGGGAAGCTCGTTTTGCTGACCATCACATTTGGAAGACACCTTGAAAGGCGTTGCATTGCCGCGTGAACAATGTAAGGCGCTTTTAGGTCAACATGGATACAATAAATATTTTGGGGAGCATAAATTGCATTAAGCAGAATCTCTACCTGTTCCAAATGTTCATTAATTAAAATGACATATGCAAGGGGAAACTTTTCTTCTTCTTCACTAGTCGGTATCAAAGGGTAAAAGTGCCTTGAAAACAGAGCAGAACAATTTGCTAATAACTTGTAGACCTCGTAATCCGTTAGCAATGTCCGAGATTGTTGCATGGCTATAGAAATCTGGTGATTATCTCCTGCAAATATCTGGTCACATCGAAACGGATGTTGCTTGATGAAAAATGGTTCAGCTCGATGAGAACTGAAGATTCTGTGCTGATGCTGAATGTGGCTCCAGAACAGCAACACAGCAGCAGACAGCGTTACGCCCGACAGCAGACAGAACTTCACTTTACGATGCATTGTACTAGAAATTGTCCAGAAATTCTTCCCGAACTGAAGCAATTCAACGCCTGTCTGTCGAATCAAGTCACATCAACTTCCGAGAGCCACAATCGACTGCGTCTTGATGACAATAAA